GAGAAGCTATATATCTACTGAATCAAAGGAGCAACTGCTACCTGTTACTTCCTTATGTGGTTTTGGTAGATATAGCATAGCATGTTGCTTAGTTGGTTAGCAGAATCACCGTAATTTATGTTTTTTCCCTTTTGTTTTCTTCCGAGGAAAAGGGATGGGGTAGGGCTGTAGTATTTGCAGATAGCAGGATGAACCTGTCGATATATATATATATATATATACACTTTATTAAGCTATCATGTGGGGAAGGGGAATTGAGTTTTTGTTTTTTTTATTATTATTTCGCTTTTCACATATTGGGCCTTTGAAGTGCAAATGGGATTTTCGATATGGGGTTTAGTAGTAGGAAACAAATTACCAATTCTGTAGGCTTTATTTGCTTGTTTCCATTTTTATGGCTTTATTTGTGGGAAAGAACAATAAATTTTAATTTTTAGGTTAGGTTTGTAGCTCTTGCCTTTTATCTTATCATCTCTATTAATTGTGTAAAACATAAAGACAAAAGTGTAAACCTTGATAGTAGTTGAATATTTTTTCTTCAATCATTAATGAGGTTTGTCTTCACTTTTGAGAGATCCTTGGTCCAAGCACTACCTAAAGAGACATAGAGGTGGAAAATCATGTCTATTTCTTTATGCTTCTTTATTACCAATTTGAAGAATGAAAATATCACTTTCTCCATTGTGTTTAGAAAATATTACACGTATATAATCTCATGTCATGTTAAATTGTACTAGCCTTTTTAATTTAAAAATAAACATCTACCTTCTTTATATATTTAATTTTGAAAATAATCATACACCCTCTTGGATATTTATAAAATGACATTCGCCCTCTGGTTTTAAAATAAACACTCACTATACTTATAAATCACATTCATCTATCCTATTATGTTAATAAATTAAACACATTTCTTATTTCATTTAAAAATAATATATTGATTAAAGCTTATTTAAAACTTGAAAATTTTATATAAATTAAATAACTTAAATTTTATATATTAATAGTGTAACATCTCAATTTTAATAGTTTACAAGTGATAAAATAAGACATTTTAAGATTGATAAATAAAATATATTGTCTCAATAATATATGATGTTAATATAGTTATCTAAAAAAACTATAATAACAAAATATATCTAAAACAATTAAGAGAAACCACGATGAGGAAGAATACTCTACAACATCATCCTCCACTGAGATGCTTGAACACCTCATTTGCTCAAACCAATAAGGTGATCTTACAAAATAAACAAACAAACACACAAAAAAATAAAATAAAAATAACATGGTAAGCTAATGTGCAAAAGAGGTTTCATAAAACAAACATAGAAATATCATCATACATCACTCATTCAAAAAATAACCATATTACATATAAAGACTCAATCTATACTCAATTATTCAAATAAAACATTGATGTGAAATCTCGAGGGTCTTGCACTTGTGGTGATTTCTACTGCTTTGTAAGGCCATTATATATGGGTTTTACCCTATTAAACACAATGTTAGTCTGTCAACATCTTTGGCCAAGGTAAAGCTGTCAGAACAATCGGTACCGTTATAGAGTCACGCAGCGGAATGAAATTAAGATAGCGGAAAGTGTGTTCGGTCAAACTTGTTTTAAGATAGTCAATTTTTAGAAATTCAATTTTCTTAGAGAAAATTTATCAAACAATTGATATGCGTAAAATGTAAAGAGTATAGAGAGCAAGAAAAATCAACACAAAATTTTTATCCTGGTTCGATTCAAAAGAATCTACGTCCAACGTTTTCACTAAAAACAGTTTTACAGATTTACAATATAGTAAATGAAAAATAAAATAAAACCTTCCTTCGACGAACGAACCGGAAGGATGCTTCCTTTGACCAACGAACCAAAAGCAATCAATCTGCACTTTCCTTCGACCAACGAACCGGAATAGTGCAGAAATAATCTTCCTTCGACCAACGAACTAGAAGAACAACAGCGTTACCAACTCGAAGAGAACCGTTCCGACCTTTGACTCACAAAGCGCGAGCTTCTCTTATTCACGAGACTAGGCAATGCAATGAACTAGCTTTTTGGAACTTCCTCAGACAAACTGTATTCTCAAAAAGCTCAGCATTTTTTCTAAGAGTTTTGGAATAACCTTATATAGCCAACTGGTCTGAGTTCGCAGAGATAGATTATAACTGCCACAGATAATCGATTATTGTTAGTGATAATCGATTATTTGAGTCCGTTACAGGGTTTTTCAAAGTGATAATCGATTATCCTGAAGAACAATCGATTATTCCAGAGACTTTGGCAGTTCTCAAGAGTACCAGTTGATAATTGATGATTTGTAGGAATAATCGATTATTCCAGAGCGAAATACTTTTTCAAGAGTGCTCAGAATAATCGATTATAGCTTCTTATAATCAATTAAATGCGTAACTTAACTAAAGGTATGAGATTTTCTAAGTTTTACATATTGAAAGACTTTTCTAATACATTTATATTCTACAAAGTGCTTTTACAACAATTATAACAACTTCTTCAAGTTTATCTTCTTGCAAACATCATCAAAATCATTTATCTTCAATTTACCAATGCTTCCTCATTGGTAACAAAAGCTTCGAAACTATGACCTCTTTCACATCTCGCTAGATACCCCATTTTACTCTACTTGAGCTTGAATAGTTATTAGAGCGACAAGATAACCTCTAACGTTTGGACTTCTACATCAATGCGTATACTAATGAAACATCACCATAGAATCTCCCCAAGAGATCAATGGAATTACGCCAAACAAATACAATACTCATCCTCATTATAATATCATACATGAATGAACACCATGATACTCATAAACTTACATAAACTACATTGTATTCTATCTCAAACAATCAAAGAAGAAGAGAATTTCAAACATACACCATGGTGCTCATAGGTGGTACATTATACTTCTTGCAAAAGGTGACGCTCAACACTCATAGGTGCGCTTAGTTGCATTTTCTGACGCTCAACATCTTGAAGCTAAAATGCTCCAAACTTAGAGTACAAGGATGATACTTAACAACACCTTGGAGTCGCCCAGTGTCAAACCATTCACAAAATTGGGTACTCAGCATCACCCTAGCACCGCTCGACACTATCCTATTCGCGAAATATGACGCTCAACATCATTTTAGCACCACTAAACACTATATCAAATATGATACCTATATTTTGTGCTTTTCAAGAGAACTTATACTTGTCAAATTGATCAAATGGTTACTCTTTTCTTAGTAAATTAGTTCAAATAGTTTTAAATATGAAAACTTGTACCATATGACCAATTGCTCAAATGAAAATCAAATCCAAACCTATAGCTCAAAAACCAAACATTCAAACCAAAATTGTTAACTCATCAAAGTTGATCATATAACAAAAATGTGTAATTTATGACTCCAACCACAAATCATCAAGTCATACTTAATACATAGTTCAATCATCCAATCAATTCAATGTATCAGTTCAACCCAATGCTTTATTTATATCTTAGTTGATCCCGATTCGATATTAAAAGTATATTGATTTTTCGCTAATAACCGAATACTTTTGTCTGTAAATACTGCATATTTTATTCCATTCATAAATCTATTTTCTTCCCTAGGAGCCAAAACGATGTGATTGAAAAAAACCCTCCTTTATCTGTTGCGGGTCGAGGTCTCCTCCCCATTCTTCAAAGTCAGTTTCATATTTTTCATAGAGAAATCTCTGATCGATGATAGAATAAGATCCATTTTGAATTTTATTTAAGGGATTTCTTGGTTTGGACCAAAGAAGCAATGTCACTCGATCCTTATCAAACTTACTACAATTTTTTTTCTGTACATGAGGATCCCACCAGATATGATTCTCTATTTCAAGATATACAAAACTTAAAATAGTGTAATTAGCTTCCCTTACCTAAGAAGCATATGAATTTGCTCTAAGGAATTCCAAATCCCTTCAAACTCATAGGACCCTAACAAACGAAACTCCTCTTAACTTGCAGGATGTTCTATTTATACATAGAAATATGACAAGAACAATCAAGACATATCATTATGATTATTGATCAATAGAGAATGATTAAAAAGACGCATACAAGTGAAAGAAGACTCACATGCAACTTATAACTGAAAAAGACTAAAAAAAGAGATAAAACTCAACTTACGCGAGATATAGGTATTTCATATGAGAAAAGAGAAATAACTTTAAGAGAAAAGTCACAATAAAACTATTTATATTAAAACTTTTTAAGATTTAAATAATGAAATCTCATTATTTTTAAACTACTACTGCATTAAAATGTTATTTTCTAAATATTTACAAATATTAACAATTGTCACTCAATAATAAAAATTAAAAATATACTCTTGAAAATGTTATTTAATATGAAATATGTAGTTTTAAAATATATAATTAAGTTTATTAACTTATTATTATATTTACATACAATTTTATTCAAATATAAATTTAAATAGAATAAGGAATATGAATGCTATAGTTTATTAAAATTACATGAAAAAATTGATATATATTTTAAAACTAACAAACTTTAATATCATGGATGTAACTTTCCATAATTTAGTCATTCAAATGATTTTCCTATAAAAAAAAGTTCTTATCTCTTTTACGTTTTTAAGCAATTTTAATTTCTTTATTTTTATTTGAGTATTGGTTAGTAATATGTTATTTTAAAATAAAAATGGAAGAGACGAGGGTAAATTATTTTTAGTTACAAAATAATTGTTAAATTTAGTTAAAATATCCTATCAATGTAATTACAATCCAATTACAAACTATCATATGATAAATTTTAAAAGAGGAAAATAAAATAAAATTGGAAAGCAAAATCAGATAAAAGAAGAGGAATTATTTTATATGTAATTATATATATAAGTATTTAAAAAAACATATAAATGTCTATTTACTCATGAAATTTATATTCTAATTAAATATTATCAAGCTACAATTTACGAATTAATTTATGTGAAGACATTAAGAAAATTCTTAATGCGCCAAACGTGTGCAACCTGCAAAACGCAGTCGTTTCATGCGACACGATTTGCTTCTGTATCGGTGGTCTTCTTCCTCCGTCGTGATCTTGTTAGGGTTCGCAGAATCGAAGTTTCCCTACATTTCTTCACTTCGCATCCACGTCGAGATTCCTTCGCAGTTTTGTCCGCACAACCCGAGAAATCAACGGTTACACGTGCACTGTACGATATTCTGTTACGTGTCTGTAAGTAATCAGCAGGAAATTGTTTAACCTTCTGAGAAGATCGTAAACCCCTGTGTATAGCGCTGAAGCACTTGAAAGATGCAGAAATTGGGAGATTTCAAACTGCCACATTTCTTCAATTACCCACCCTATTTCACGTAAACTACCTTTTTATGCTTTGCATTTTGTTTTGTTTTGTTTTCTTTTCCAATTATATGAAGAAAGCTTAATTTTGTTTTAGTTACTGAGACCTTTTCACTGCCTGTATTGGATATGTTTTCTGGTTGCGTGTGATATTGTATTATTGTTGTGTGGTTCAATTGTTTTGCCTCTTTATTTGCCAAATCCACTGTTTAGTGCTTCGTGTTTATTGATAAGAGAGTTGATAGTAAGACTGTCTTTAACTAGTGGTTGATTATGCCGGTGACCTTGGCTTCTACCTTTCAGTTTGCAGCCAGTAAGAGACACAAGAGAGAAGCAGATACAACTATGGAAAGAGCTTATTTTGGATTATTGTAAAACACAGAAGACATTTGTAATTGCCCTTGAAGAAGAATTTCCTCTATTTGCAAACCATGTAATTGAAAGTAAGCTAAAAATCCTGCTTTTTTGTTTCATTTATGTGAAGTTGACAAGTCCTATGAATGCTTCTCTATCATTTGGTCTTGCTTGTTTCCACGCTTTTGTTTTGTGATTGTTTTAAGACTTTTCATCTTACAGGGTCTCTTACTCATGAAGCCAGAGAAGCTTTCCTTTCGGCTTTAGTTTCTGAAGGTATGCTTAATTTCTATCTATGGATTTATTTTTTTTGTAATGGCTCAGAGAAAAATGTTTCAACTGTGTATTCTGGTTTGACAGGCCGTGCGGAATGGATGGATAAAGGACACAGGAAATGTCTTATTCTCTGGCATCGGATTCAAGATTGGGCTGACATTTTAATTCAATTTGTAGGTTTAAATTGCTAGTTTGATAATCAGGGCCTGCAATTAGTATTTACTACCTAGTTATTGAATTTGCTTTAATATTTGATTAGGCAAAAGACAATGGGCTGGAAGATGGTGTTGTAACGATTGAAGAAATACGATCAGGGACCGAGTCTCAGGGAACAGGTAATTTGTTAACGCTTATAGGTCCTATAGTGAGCTATACCTTTATTTTTCTTTTTTCCACTAATTTAAACAATGATTACTATAGTGAGCTATACTTAGAGATAGGACAAGTTTGACGATTATGCTGCTTCAATGCATATTGTCTCGGGTTCGAGTATATTTCTAGGACTTTATAGTCGTTCTTTTGCTAGGTATTTCTAATAATATTGTTACTTCTCAATTTGTTTCCAATCAATCTGGTTGAATCGGACCTTTTGAATATTTATGTGGTTCTGGAGGTTGAGGGAAGGATCGAACTTTCAGTAAATATTTCTTCACCTGTATTTAGATTCAATTCAATTTAGTATAATATGAAAGCAATCTTGGCAGAGATTCAGTATGCCAAAAGGGATTTTTGGATATGATTTGTGGTAAAAGAATTCATTAAGTCTTCATTTATCCTTACATTTTTTGTTGCTTTTGAAATAGTGTTTAGAGAAGTTTATGTTCTATTTTTATCTTACTTAAGGGTGATTGCAAAATGTGCAAGCAATGGAACAGATAGAAAAACAACTAAAACGGAAAGATACGCATGTGGTGGTTTACAGATTTTGAGCTTTGAATTTTTCTTAATCTAAAACCAATTTAGTTAGTTTCAATTTTGTGATTTGGTGTTGTCTTAATATTTCAGTAACCTATACTGAAATATTATGTTGACTAACGGTAAAATAGTCTTAACCTTTTATTTTTTATTTATTTTTCTTTTCTGGTGATTAAAGGAAGTATATTGTCTTGAACCTCAGACCAATAGTGCTATTGCTGAAGCAAAGGTTTAGACCAACAAATAGACAACCTTTGATTTTTATCTTTAAATAATTTTTTAAGTTGTTGAAACTAAAAGAAAATAAAAATTTAAAAACGCAAAACAAAAGACATTTTCTTCTCAGTGTGAATGGTGTTTTTAGACTGCTGTGGATGTTTGTTAAATCGAAAATAGTGTCCTTGGACGTGGCTTCCTTTATTTAAGAAGGTTAAAAAAAGCTCATAAAGTTCACTTCTTCCCTTCAGAATCAGAAGTACCCTTGTAAACCACCATAATATGTCTTCTAATTTCTAAAGATGTATGGTGCTTGAACAACCCTTATCCAATTTATTATGATAGATGCACCCCAGTAGGTAACTTTTGCCAATTTTCCGCTTCATGATGATTTTTTCAATCAGAATCTATAAATTCTAAACGTTGGCAAACTAATAGCAGTAAATTTTTTGACTTTATACTGATATTGTCCAACCCTTTGTGTTTACGTGATCAGATAATTTTTTGAGAATGAATTGTTACGACAGTAACTGTCGATATTGTGAAAGATCATGTTATAATTTTTGTTCCTAATGTTGAGAGTGGTTTCTGTGGTTGCTGTACTGCTGACCAAATATGCTTGAGAATGGGAGCGCGGACAAATTCAGAGAAGAGGAAGATGAAACCTCTTCATTTTGTTTTAAACTCAGAAAATTCGAAAATAAGGAAAAAAAGTAATTGGGAAATGAAAAGAATTATAAATGTTTAATATTAAATATAAATCAATGGAGATGATTTTACTTAATCAATTAACCCCTGGTGAATAAAATGGAATCGGTCGTGTTAAAAGTTGAGTTTTCGCTTGCAAAAGTTGTACGGTTGAAAGGGAGATTGTTGTGAAAATCAATCCAATTTTTCCTAACATTAATACAAGAAAGTTAAAAGCCAAGAGATGCATTCGAAGTGGATGGTGAATCTATCTTGACTCTTGAAAATCTCATTCATTATAATAATGAGACGCAGATGAAGAGGTTGGAAAGTAAGGCCCACTAAGTCTTATTTATAGGAAGCCATGAACCTTTACTATGTAAATATATCATGTGAAGATGATACACACAATTTAGAGAGAGGAGGTCGCCACCCTAAATTTAAGGGGGGTGGTTTTGTAATGGGGGAGGGTTTCTCAGGTTTGCCCAGAACATTTGTAATGTGATGTGATATAATGAATACTTTTGAGACAATTTTGCGGACTGTGGCAAGAGTTTCATGTCGTTTTATGTTTTATCTTTGTTTTTGTGTCCCATACCTCTGATCCTCTTTATGTGAGAGGAGAGATTCTTCCTCGTAATGGTATCAAAGTTAATGGTTTGGCTTGGTGACTTATTTAATTGAGTATATTGGAACTGATGGTGGATCCAAGCGGGGATCTTTGTGCCAAGTCTTGGTGACGGAAGCCCAGCGATGTGTCTTGGTAGTTTGATGGAATACAAATCTTTGTGTCGATAGTCTTCTTGAAACGGGAGTCAAAGGGGCGTGGTGTCTTGAAAACTAAAAGCAGTGCAAGGACAAGTAGTGTCATCATCCATTCCCAGGGATTTTTAAGATCGAAGATATGGTGATGAGTAAAGCTAGTTTGGCAGCGAAAGCATGATTTGTGAGAAAAAAAAATGTGAAAATGGTTGTTTGGGAATTTTAATTGAGGGAGGGATTATTGCGAAAATCAATCCAATTTTTCCAAACATTAATACAAGTGAAAATCCCATAGATATATACTTCCATGTGTTAATATTTTGACCGAAGTTGGTTCTTTGTTTTTTATATTCTGCAGAGCTTCATGGAATAGATCGAACTATTTTGAATCGTGCACTGAAACTATTGGAGCAGAAAGGAAAGCTTGTGGTCTTTAAAGGAACTTCAGCTGACGATGAAGGAATTAAATTTTCTATATAATTTTGTGTATTACTCCATTGAATTTCGGTGGATCTTACATTTGTAATCAACAATAGAATTCTTTGCTGTCTACTTGATGAGTTTGTTGATGTTCAAGAGCAAGCTGTAGTTAATTGCTATCAATTTGAATCTTGGAAGCTTCCTTGTCTTAACTAAGCATGATATTAGTTAAAGTCAGAGATACGGATAATACTCACCTTTTACTCGTTATGTGATGAAAATTTTTGCAGTAGTATATATACAAAAAATATAGATATGAGTATAGGTAATATTTGTTTTTTTTAAAATGGGATTAGAAACGAGGATGAATATGTACATATTTATTTCGTTTTCATCTCGTCTTAATCTTATACTTTGTTCTCGTTTTTATCATCGTTTTTTTATTAAATTACTAAAATATTTATTAGTTATTAGGTAATATATATATATATATATATATATATATATATATATATATATATATATATATATATAGTTTCGT